CGCAAGTTTGGTCTCTGATTTGTGTATAAAATAACCATTTTACAAGTTTTCACGGAAATAACCAGTTTTCCGTCCGATTTTAGAACTTCAGCACAACATTACAATCGGGAGCGTATTCAGGAATTTGTCCAAGGAGGGTTTAATTTCTTTATCTTTCAAGGAGGGGTTCAGCACCCATTGAGCCTGAAAACCCGCTGAAATCAATAGATTTCACTGGTCCAGGGGGGGGGCTTAGCCCCTGATTACAATGAACTGAGACTTCTCTCAAAAAAAACTACCCATGCGGCCGAGCCTTATTTGACTCGAATAAGAGTTTTATGGTGTTAACTCAATACTGCAGCTGCCCCCCCCCCCCCCCCCTCTTTTAGATGTGAACTGACATAAATAGTAAACAGGTGACTAAAACTGTAACAATGTATTTTTTTGGAATTTATGTTTCATAATTGTAGAATGCCACTTCATGAAATAAAGTAAACGTAGTGAATACGTAACACGTTTAAAATAAAATAAAACATTATAGTTAATACTCTAGGCCTGGCATAGTGATCATATAAATTATGAAATTTAAAAAGTATTTATTGTGATGCTAGCCGAAATATATATCTCTCTGACCTTTAATCGTCGCTAAAATATAATTGTAAGTATACACCTGAAGAAATTGTTCGTAATATAAAATTTACCAAAAAGATGTTGTATAAAAATATGTGGGAGACATTTCTAAAATGCTGTTAATTACTTTGAACAAAATGTTTATAATTTCAAAATAAGTACTTTGAGTAGTTCAATATTCGATCCTGATCAAACAGATTATTGAACCTTTCCGTCCGCCCCCCCCCCCCCCCCCTGCAAACTTACCAAGGGTCAAATTTCTGCAGCATTATTGGTACGTCTTTGAGACCTCTTCGCTCAACTGGTTATCATTTTACTCACGACTATAAGCGAAATCATCCGATAACATAAATTAAGAAATATTTTGGTTCTTCAATAAAAGGAGTTATAGTTGTAAACATGAAAGACTAATGTGGGTACCCCGCTTTGCCTGGATTTTATCCTATGAAAGTCAACCCACTCAACTCAGAATTTCAAAACCAGGCTTAGTACATTCCCGTGGATCTTACGAGTTTCGCAATCAAAATTTCTGACAAATCGGTCCAATGGTTCCTGAGTTATGATCAGAAATATTAACAGAAAAACAAAGATTTCTACTTATGTATATATATATACATCTAAATATACATCTATATATAGAGCAATCTGTAACAATTTGTATTAATAAATATCAAAAACTGAGAAGATTATTGCTTTGATATATATATATATATAATATTATTTACATATAAATATGTATATATGCATATATTCAAAAAATCAGCTTCAAATTAAATCATTTTAATATATTAAATTTATTTTGCAATACATGATGTTTCTTTCATGCCTTGTTGCAATCATCAGTAAATTAATTAATTAATTATATATAGATATATATTTTAATCTTACGAACAATTTACTTTAGTGTAACGTGCTTTGGACTTATCAAAGGAAGTTATTTATATTATTTTATTTACTTTAGTGTAACGTGCTCCTACTGTGCTTTGGCTTATCAAAGGAAGTTATTTATATTATTTTATTTACTTTAGTGTAACGTGCTCCTACTGCGCTTTGGGCTTATCAAAGAAAGTTATTTATATTATTTTATTTACTTTAGTGTAACGTGCTCCTACTGCGCTTTGGGCTTATCAAAGAAAGTTATTTATATTATTTTATTCACTTTAGTTTAACGTGCTCCTACTGTGCTTTGGGCTTATCAAAGGAAGTTATTTATATTATTTTATTTACATTAGTTTAACGTTCTCCTACTGTGCTTTGGACTTATCAAAGGAAGTTATTTATATTATTTTATTTACTTTAGTTTAACGTGCTCCTACTGCGCTTTGGGCTTATCAAAGAAAGTTATTTATATTATTTTATTTACATTAGTGTAACGTGCTTCTACTGTGCTTTGGAATTTCAAAGGAAGTTAATTATATTATTTTATTTACTTTAGTGTAACGTGCTCCTACTGTGCTTTGGGCTTATCAAAGGAAGTTATTTATATTGTTTTATTTACATTAGTTTAACGTTCTCCTACTGTGCTTTGGGCTTATCAAAGGAAGTTATTTATATTATTTTATTTACATTAGTTTAATGTCCTCCTACTGTGCTTTGGGCTTATCAAAGGAAGTTATTTATATTGTTTTATTTACATTAGTTTAACGTTCTCCTACTGTGCTTTGGGCTTATCAAAGGAAGTTATTTATATTATTTTATTTACATTAGTTTAATGTCCTCCTACTGTGCTTTGGACTTATCAAAGGAAGTTATTTATATTATTTTATTTACTTTAGTGTAACGTGCTCCTACTGCGCTTTGGAATTATCAAAGGAAGTTATTTATATTATTTTATTTACTTTAGTGTAACGTGCTCGTACTGCGCTTTGGACTTATCAAAGGAAGTTAATTATAGTGTTTTATTTAACTGACCACGTTTAATTACACAGTTTCTCTTCTTATTTTTGTTTCCCGTAAATTCTAATGGTTGAAAATAATTATACTGAGTTTAATTGTTAAATTTCGCAGTTCTCTCCCACTCGTAATTATTCACTTACACACATATATTGTGCAAACATACTAACGTGTTTAAAGGGACTGTACGCTTATTAAGTTACACTTTTTAATAAAATGACATATCAGATTCACAACGGTACCTGTGAAATCTTTGACTGATTAAGGACGCATGGGATAAATAAGATCCTTATTTTTTTCTTATGTAAGGTTGTTTTTTCTTAATTCCAGATTTAAATATAAGCATTACAATTTACATGCTACAAAGATACTGAAAGAAATTGTCAGAATTCAATACTTTTAAAGAAAGAAAAACAACGATATCTTCCTCACTGTTACTCAGAGACATTGCCCTAAAAAAATTGTTAAATGTTAACAATAACGAAGTGAGAACAATGATTTTGGAAATAACGATCGAGTTTAATTTGTAAGAAATGTGCCTATAGTCCTTACTCCCTACATTTACGTGCTCTTGTAAGCATTCACCATCTGGTCTTGAAGACCTATTACATTTAAGTGTTTTCAGTAAAACCTTTAATTATATCATTATTGTTGTGCAAATTATTATTAGCATTGTTATAGGAACATTTAGGAAAATCGCAGTAATGCAAAATTAAAATATGCATGGTTCAATATTTTGCAAAAGACAGAAGTTTCCAGATTTTACGATTTTAGACTTTTAAAGCTTAAAGGGACTATCGCCAAAATTTCCAAATAATTTGTATGGTTTAAAGTACGTAAAATATATAATGCCTTTACGGGTACTAAGTAATCCGAAAAAATAGAAACCCTACATAAATTCAAATAGTTATCATAATAATGTCAAAAAGAATATTCTAAATTGTTAATTATGTCACTATAGGGTTAATTGATTTCTTTAGGTCGAGTGAAAGACGAACAAAAAGTCGATTTTTGGTAAAATTTTCCAAATATCAAATAAACCAATTCCATTTTCAGAGGGAATGGCGGAATGTCTAACGCGTATTTCATAAAAGTTGTGAGAATTAGTTTCATATTAATTTATTAAGATAATTTTAATCATTTTACTAGTTTTAATTTCAATCTTAAAAAATCTTGTAAAATTTTCTTAGGAAGCTTCGATAAAAAATATATCGCAGTTCTTAAAGTTCATCATGGGTTTAAAGTGAAATCTCAGAAGAGGAAAATTAGGATCCAAACATTGAAATGAATTAGTTAAATATCATTGCATAGCGCACTTTATTTAAAGTATATTAATTCGTACCAATAACATTTATCACAATTATTTTCAGATTTTGGGAGTTTAAATTTTAAAGTTGTTAAAGTTGTACTTCATGTACATAACATTTCAAAATAAAGAAAAAGAATATTTTTTATAGATAAAAGATTATTAAAGGGACTGTCAACCTATTTTCAGTTTATCCTCCACGCGAAGATGCCAGTACCAGATTTGAAACGGGACCCTTGAAACCGTATATTCTGTTCAAAACTGTGCAAGTCACTTTTGCAGAGAAACCGCAACTGCATATCGGTTTTGAGGAACCAAAACATGAATATCTATTTCATACTTGATCAGACAAAGCTTTCAAAGGTAAAGTTGTAAATCGGGCATTGCCATTTTTGCATAGAGGGTTACTTGAAATTACGCTTACAGTCCCTTTAAAGAACGCCGNAATGGGGGGTAATTCTGCAATCTTAAAATAACAAATGTAGCCCATATAACATATACTGACAATTGACTATAAATAACTTATATATATTTTATGATTATAGCTTCTTTTTGATTTGATAATTTATATACATAATACGATTATAAGCTCAGTGTGAATATTTCAACACATTTTCTTTTCACAATAATTTTCATATCTTCAAGAAAACGCCAAAATAATTTTATATAAATCCATATTAAATCAACGCCATTAACAATTCACAGCGATATCCTTTAAATCTTTGTAAACAAAAATACATTTTAACCTTGGCAGGGGTCCATACAATTCCATCTAATACGATCCCAAATGTTAATTGATTGATATTAGGGGCAGAAACTAACCATGTTGTTGTTGTTGAAAACAATTGGAAGTATGATATTAAGTTGTAGAAAAAATTTCATACTGCAGAATATAAACTGCAAAGAGCAAGGGAGTGCAGCACTAACGCAAGAATGTGCAGAGTTGAAAAATAAATCCGCTAACTATCATGATAATATTTAAGTTGAAAAATAAATCCGCGAACTATCATGATAACATATAAGTTGAAAAATAAATCCGCGAACTATCATGATAATATATAGGTTGAAAAATAAATCCGCGAACTATCATGATAATATATAGGTTGAAAAAATCTGAGGAAAAAATGGCGCGAACTATCATGAAAATGTGCAGAGTTGAAAAAAAACCGGGAAAAAATGGGCAGAGTTCACAAATATACCCTGGGAAAAATGGCGTGAACTATCATGAGAATATGCAGAGTTGAAAAATAAATCCGGGGAAGAATTGCGCGAACTATCATGAGAATGTGCAGACTGTCTGATGTCTGTTTAAAGCTTCAGATTTCTTGAATTGGCTGCCACAACCTCGCTCACACCACAGCTTCTCCACGTCAACTCCTGGCCGGGATCTAATCATAGCAAATACAAGTTATCAGGAGTGTTTATTTTTTAGAATTAGCCTCTCCCCCCATTAATTTATTGATTTTCACCAAAAATCATTTACTTTCCCAAAATCAGCGAAATCAGGGTGTCCCACGAAACATGAAAGAGAGAAAAAGCTTTAACAACGACTTTGATTTTAGAAATAATAAAGCGGGATTTATCTGTCAACCTAAGCTATTACATATATGATTCTTAACACAATAATCAAAACTCTCCTAGTCCTGGGATTTCCAAAATGTGATCTGAATTGTATGTGTTTTCAGTATTACCAAAAATATTAAGTTTTGTCCAGATTAAAATAAAAAATGATGAAATTACAAGTTGTCGAAATTCTTCGGATATCGGTAATTTTGAAAGCAAACAAAAATTGCAATCCACATTTTGAAAATGCTAGGACAATGACCAAGGGGAGGGGTATTTTATGTTTATTAAAAAAATTTGCTCCTAATAATAGTTTAACGAATAAATGCCACAAATTATTACAATGGTCAACAAAGACGATATTCAAGTCATCTCTCAACTGTCATGTTTCGTAGTACACCCTGTTATTTGAAAATAATTAAAAATTCAACTATAAAAAATAAATTCTTGAATGATGACTAAGAAATACAAAAACTTACATTTTATTGTTTGAAGGAACATATTTAGATAATGCCAAGGATTCTAACAAACTGAAATCCTAATTTGGACAGACAATTTATTACATTAAAGACAATTTATTACATTAAAGCGTAAAATCAAGTAACCCTCCATGCAACAATTGCAATATCCGTTTTTTCTAATATATCTGACCCGAAACAAACTCTAACATATTTAGAAAAAATTGGGGTTTACAAGAAAAATCTTTTTAATTTGTTTCTTAGATATAAAGTCATAATGTTTTTCTCTCAAAGTTGTTAAAGAAAAACAAATAAACATAATACAAATATTTTAAATAAAAAATTGTCTGGAAGTTCCTTGATTGGTTTATATTTGTAGGGAACAAACCGATCCTTGTAGAAGAGTTCCTGGAACTGATAAATATATCCTTCACCTAAATAACTAAATAATAACAAAAATTCTGCCATTTTGACTTCCTCAGATGGAATTTAAAGAATTTGAGCCGTGGTTTAAATCTTCCAAACCCCGATTTAAATTAAGCGCCGGCTTAAATCTTGAAACATTTGATACAATTTTAAGTGGAACCAACCGGATTCCGAAAAATATAGATCTATTTCCAAGGGTCAAAATATGGACCAAAACATATATTTCAACTGTTAGCTTATGACCTATTATTTAAAACTTCATCATCTCTCTGAATGGTTTCTTAAGTTTCAGCAAATGGAATAAGCGAAAAAATGACTGAGCTTTAAAGAGTACAGTTGTAAATCAGAAATTCCATTCAAGATCCTTCGAATAGTTGAAACCTTTTAGGTAGCGTATAACCTTTGATTAATATTATTAGCAGACAACCCATCGTGCAATAACAGTGAGGTCCTTTGAAAATTGAATAAATTAGCACTGCTGTCATAACTTTTTGATATTCTGGCAACGGAAGAATGAAAAAAAAAACTATATTATCGTGAATTATTATAGAAATATAGACTTTAAGGGAAAGAAGTGCCTCATTTTATTAAACAAATTAGGTTTAAAATGTTGGCTTTTGAGCCGCCGTAAATTGTAGAAATAAAAATTTCGCGGTTTTTTATTTTCAATGATAGATGTTCAGAAAAAAGTTACCTTCAGGAATCTGCCGGATAATTCTATTCTCTTCGTAAAATCTGAAAATCAAAATAGAATATATAACAAATATTTGAACCAGAGATCAAAGCTTTTGGTTGATATAGTGCTAATCTACAACGCCTCATCTCGATATTTACTGTCTATGGCAACTTTAGAATTTAATAAATTGATCCATCAATCGTAATAATCCCTCCAGAACACGAACACAACATGATATCCAAGAAAAGAAAAAAAATTAATCCGTAGGGCCTGCACAAGATACTGATAATTGTTTCATCTAGGGACTGCACAAGAGACGGAAACTGCCTGAATTAGGGCTTCACGACTCAAAGTTTTAGCTTCGGGTAAAATTGCAAAAATAGAAAGCAAATAAAAGGCAGGTTTGAGATTTTTGCAATAAAGCGTCGAAGAAAAAATCTGAAGTGGTAATTAATGTTGAAAAAGAAAGTAAAATTAAGTTACCCAAAATAATATCTCATCTGTCTCCAGCTCTGTGCTCTGTAACAAACAATAAAATTAGTAAACCAACAACCGGCAAAAATAAAATTCTTAATGGGACTGTACGCGTAATTTCAAGCAAAAATGTTAACGCCCGATTAAGAACGGTACTTTAATATCAATATTGTGGAAGATATTGTTAAAGGTGTTCAAATCTGATATATGTTTTCCTGCAGTCCGCAAGTCACTTTATTAGTGAAGCCAGAATTGAAACTAATCTGTTGTGAAAATTGTAAATATTGATAAATAATTCATACTTGATCAGACAAATAAGATATCAGGCATTGCCATTGAATATAGGGTCCATAGAAATTACACTTACACTTTACAGTCCCTGTAATAATAAAACAGAATTTACCTTATATTTTTTAATTGTTTATAATTCTCCCACAGTTTACCCAACCGACCAATATCCTGAAAAATTAAAACATTTAAAAAAATATAACTTGGACAAAAGTAATTGCAGGATCGGGTATCATCATTAAATCAAATCAAATCGTTATAAACCCGTTATTTGTAATGATATATCTCTGTTCTGAATTGCTAAATAGCTGAGTTAATTTATTTTTCATTTATAAATTTATTTCTTTAAATAATTGATCGACTTTTGATTTGTTCATGCTTCACCTATTCTAATTAAATTCAATGATTTATTGGCTTTTTTACTAGTTTTTACTAATTAATTAATTGATTAAAAATAAATCTGCCAAATGTCAATTGACTGATCACTTGATCTATTAGTAATGATAATTGATTTAAAATTCTGCTAAATGTCAATTATCTGATCACTTGATCTATTAGTATTTAGTAATGATTAATGGATTTAAAATAAATCTGCTAAATGCCAATTATGTGATCACTTGATCTATTAGTAATGATTTGTTGATTGATTGATCATTGAATAATTGATATTTTAAAAATTACCTAATTTTCAACATTTGATATCAATAATTTAAAAATATTTAATAACTGATTTTGTTTTTAAATATTAGATTGATTAATAATTCTTGATTTTGTATCCTAGTATTCATTAATTTTCAATACTTGGTTTTGTTTTCAATAATTGTTAACTTTCCAATAATTGATTTTGTTTTCAATAATTGATTAATTTTCAATATTGATTTTGTTTTCAATAATTGATTAATTTTCAATATTGATTTTGTTTTCAATAATTGTTAAATTTCCAATAATTGATTTTGTTTTCAATAATTGATTAATTTTCAATATTGATTTTGTTTTCAATAATTGTTAACTTTCCAATAATTGATTTTGTTTTCAATAATTGATTTATTTATAATTACCTCCAAATAAAATTTACCGATACTTTCATCTTGCCACCGGAAACACGGATCATTCCTGAATATTAAACATTTTTTATCTGAATATTTTTTCTTACCATTTTTATCTCAATATTTTTTTCTTAACATTTTTATCTTAATATTTTAATATACTTGCAATGAGAAATCAAGGAAAGAACGCCATGGTATTTGTTTCTAATATTTTAAGAAAAATTTGGAGAAAAAAAATTTTTATAGATAAATAATTTGTCTGCATACATTTGTCTTCAAAATAATCATTTGTCATTTGCAGTAATTTAAAGTGACCCTCCATGCAAAGATGACAATGCCCGATTTACTACGCTACCCTACCCGTAAAAGCTTTGTCAGGTCAAGTATCCACATTTTGATCATTCAAGGGTACCGTTGTAAATCGGGTATTGCAATCTTTGCCAGGAGGGTTATTTGAAATCAAGCTAATATTAGTTCCTTTAATTTGATTTTGTTTGTAAAAAATACAGGAAGAGATTCTTTCTAACTATTTTAACAAATTGTTTCTAAAATGTAATTTAATGAAAAACCGGGAAAAGATGACAATAAGTGGTCCCAGCACGTGACAAGAATGGAAAGGTATTTGCTGTATCTTCTATACATATATATATATATATATATTAAAGTCTGCACAAATTGTTTCGGCGTTGGGGAAGGCAGCGCCTAAAACTTGATTTCTTAGTGGTATATGTTATGTAAAGGGTTACCCACAACGGATGAGACTGTAAAGACGACCTGAAACTCTTTAAATATGACGATCCCAAGATTGCACTTTGTCTCAAATGTGGTCTTTTTAATAGTTCGCCAAAGTAAGAAACATGTTTACAGTTGCAGGGAATCATTAATATAAGGAAACAGGCAGTATAAATTCCGTACAGTCGTCTCTGAAGTCTCTTTCTTCGAGGGTAACCTGTATCCGTGAGAATATGAATATAAAGAATGAAATCCCTTGTTACCTGTTAAATAATTCCTTCATGAACTGCCAAAGCCATCTATGTTTATCAGACGGAATCTGTTTAAGTCTTGGATATCCCTGGACAACAAGAATAAATCAATAAAAATGGAAAGACGACCTAGAGAACCTTTAGAACGCATGTTGTTGTTACAGGGATCGTAAGCGTAATTTCAATAGGCCTTCTATGCAAAAATAGCAATGCCCAATTCACAACGCTACCTTTGAAACCTTTATCTGATCAATAGCGGGGAAAATATTGTCGTTTTCTAAGGTAGTGCTGAATTCTGATAATTCCTTTATTTGTTCCTGGAATAGAAATTTGCAATTCCCTTTAGTAGAGAAACCACACTTGAAGTTTACCAGTTCTCAAAATTATTAACATTGATATCTTATCAGAAATAGCTTGTAAGGGTACCATTGTGAATAGGGCATTGTTAACATAAATGTCACTTGAAAATACGCAAACATTCTCTTTAAACGTCGACATTCACATCAGAACATAGCTGGTATGCACTAAATCTTAAATATTTTAACACATCTTTGGTAAAAAAAGTATTTAAAATATTTCCAAGAATACCAGTAAAAAAAATTCAACCAAAAAGTATTTTAGAAATAATTTTGTCATTATTGACGAAAAAGTTACCTTTGTTAATGCTTCCGATATATTGGATCCACTGAAAACGAAAATAATTTTAATTTTATAAAAAAATTTAAAAATTTGTAATTTTCAGTTTTTTGTTGTTTTACTCACATTTTCATTGAGACCTGGGAGTAAGGAGATTGCGCTTGATGACTAGTTGTTCTAAACTTATCCTAAAAATACAATTTTCAATATAGGTTTAAAATAATCGGAACCTTCTAGAACCTCTTTTGATAGTTTGTCTAAAACAAACTAGCAACTTATGCCTAGTCTAAAAAAGCAGTGCTTAGGATCCATTTAATTTTGATGCGGATTCGGATCCGGAATCTGGATCCACTCTGGAAAAAAATGGATTCGGATCCAAATCCGGATCCGGATCATTTCTATAAGATTTACTGAATCCTTTTGACAACAAAAAATAATTTTCAAATTTTTTGTTTTATTTCTTTCGCATATTTTTATCCTAAAACTTGATGAACCATTCAGAAATATTAAATCTCTCTTTTTTTCAAAAGTTCATATTTTGGTTTTATGAGTAAAAAAGGTGTTTTTTGCAGTTTTTGGTTGATATTTTACCCCTTGGATCCGGATCCTAAGCTCTGAAAAAAAGCATACTAGAATTTAACACGCGAGGCATTTACCTCAAAATCTATGGTAAAAAATTTGTCTTAATATTATGGGATGACCGTTCTATTTTTAAAGGAGGAATGGGAAAGGATATAACACGTGTTTGCGGTTTATAATTGCTAAATAAGATTCATAAGGAATCTGGTTTTTGAAAATTATAAAATAATAGTAAATAAAAAAAATAATAATGATGTCTTTTAAAAGAAAAGAATGAATACAATAGATTCGGATCCTTAGCATGAAAAGTTCAATAAGATTCACAATCCATGAATTCACTATATTCACTTAAAACACTTCTGAATTCAAGATTAATGGATAAAAGAGGAATGTAACAAATTGAAATTTTTAGAGGGAGAGAAACAACTTAGTGCTTCAGAAACGGATTAAGAAAGCGATTTAAAAAATAATTTAATTTTCATATCTCATGGAGAAAGGAGAAAAATAAGAAATTCATAACGGATAAAGTTGGCGTAAACAACTCAGATAAAACAACACCTGAATATTAACGGTTGTGTTCATGTTTGTTTGCTGAGTAGAGGGTTGGATCTGGACTTGAACACCGGGAAAAGGTTGCTGAACAGGCTGAACAGGTTGAAGAGATTGTTGAACAGGATGAATACTTTGTTTGGGAGCCAGGTTCTGCAATAAATACTTTGGAACAAGATTGGGAGATTGTTTTGGCGCCAATTTAATTTCAGGTTTATTCTTTGGTTTGGTTTGGAGGTTGGGAGAATGAGTTTGGATGTTTCGAGGCTGAATTTTGAGAATCTGCGATGAGTTTAGAGGATCAGGAGGCTGTTGAGGCTGTGAGAATGCTACAAGAATTCGTCCAGGATTGGATTCGGGATCTTAAAATAAAAAAATGTTCAGCTGAAATGTAGATAAACCAGACATTGATATTTATTATTATTAAATGTTTATCAAAATGTTCAAAAGGGAAGTTTGTTAATTGTCCAATGTTCATATTAGTTTATTTTACTAAAATACTACGGAGACCTTTTTCAAATGTGAAGAACAATAGATGGTATAGGGGAAATCAGAATTAATCGATTGAACTCTGTATGAGAATAATATTATGTATAAATAATATTGTTCTCTTCAGTAAAGAGAACCAGAAAACTGTAGAATACGAAGACGACATTAAACAGTACAGAAGTGAATTTGATGTTGTTACGAAGCAAATAGCTTTACTAGTAAGTTATTAAATCACTAAGTGAAATGGGTCTGTTTACACTGCAATTGCTGTGCCTCATGTTCTATGTACTATATAAAGTCTAAACTTGAGTCTAAAAGTCGACTTCCTATTCCAGAGTTTTCTGGTTATCACTGTACTTAAAGCGTTTTGTCTAAAAATTTAATATCTTATTTTTTTGTTTATCTTTTGATTTTTTTCAGGATAGAGTATGATAATATTTCCTAAAACCGACAATCTGCAATTTTTTTAATTTAGTTCGAGATTGCTCTACATTTTACACCTTTTGAACTGTTTTAGAATAAGTACACAGTAAAGAACATCTCCCACTATTGAGTATTAAGAAAGGATTCTGTAAAGAACCTCGACATGGACCCCCCAGACCGCAGCAAGATGAGAGCGTCATTACACAAGATGCCACCTACCCGTTCCATCCACGCCCCCAAACATCGAGGTATTAAAAACAGAGGGGCATGCCAAGAAACAAGTAAAACTGATAACCTTGCAATCTGTTAACTGTAGCAAACATTTTTTTATCAGTGGTTTAGTATTAATATTTTTAGTAGAAAAGCAAGAATGTTTAATAGACATAGTGTGAACTATTGTGGCAGAAATATCAACGTTTTGATATATTTCATTAATTTTTCAAAAATTACAAAAAGCTATTCTTACTACTTTCAGAATGAAAATTGATATAAAAAAAATTATTAAAAAGAAAAATTTCACTTAAACATATTCCTTTGAAAAGATATTAAAAATTCATAAATTTTCTTTACAGAATTTTATATACCAAACCTTGTGTACTCAATGATACCAAGTGAACTAGAAGGGTGAAATATTCGACAATGTTAACTACACTTTACAGCCAACCAGGACAGGAGCTAGATAATTATGTCCACCTACTGCCCCCAACCTCCCACCAACTTTTCCCAGCCGAGGGCCGGGAGAAGAAGTGGTGCTAACCGTTGGCTGGTATTATTAGATTAAGAAAACTTATTTACCGATAAATACAGTTTCATGGTTTGCAAATCCTTGATCATCTGTCTTTGGTTTAATAGCCGGTAAAGGACCGGATCTGTCCGCCGTCGTTCTTATTTTACCCGTTCTCCGCCGTTTTCCACTACTCCGCTTCTCCTGAAGCCACAAAATGTTATACGGATCCTGATCTTTGATATCTAATAAAAAAGGATTCGGATCCGGCTCACCCATAGGAATTTTTTTCTAAAAACTTTCATATTTGTTTCTCTTCAATGTTTCTGATGAGTAACACTTGATGTTAAAGTTTTATGAAAAAAGTTTTTTTGCAGTTGTATATTTTAAAAATAAAAATAAATTTTAAATAAAAATAAATTCCAATTTTACAAACTAAAATATATAATATTTTAACCTGTGTATCAGCGAGGACCACCTCTTCACAAAAATAATCTGGGCAAAACTAAAAAAAAATCATATTTTTTTATCAAACAATGCATTTTTTCATTCAGGAGAAAGCATGAACAGATAGTGTTACTGAAACNGGGGGGGGGGGGGTCGAGCTGAGAGAGAAGGATAAAGAAAAACAGACAAAAATCGAGAGTATATATTTCCCTGAAAAAAATACTACCTAATCCCCCTCCCTGTTCAAACAAAAATTTTCCTCAGTATTTTAAGAATATGTACAATTAATTCTAAAGGTTTTTTTCTTGCCGAATTAGGGATGGGGGGGAGGAGGCCACATAAAAAAAATTCGGTAAAAAATACCAAAAAGGAGAGGGGGAGGGGGTTAATTTCTTAAAATATATATCCCTAATAGAAGATTACAAACCTGAGGTTCGACAATCTGATCTCGGGCAAACAGCTGAACCTGTCGTCTTCGAACAACCTGCTCAGTTAAATTTAAATCGGGGAGTGCTTTTAACCGGGGAGTTCTTTTAACCGGGGAGTGCTTTTAACCGGGGAGTGCTTTTAACCGGGGAGTTCTTTTAACCGGGCAGTGCTTTTAACCGGAGAGTACTTTTAACCGGGGAGTGCTTTTAACCGGGGAGTTCTTTTAACCGGGGAGTTCTTTTAATCGGGGAGTTCTTTTAACCGGGGAGTTCTTTTAACCGGGCAGTGCTTTTAACCGGAGAGTACTTTTAACCGGGGAGTGCTTTTAACCGGGGAGTTCTTTTAACCGGGGAGTTCTTTTAATCGGGGAGTTCTTTAAATCGGGGAGTGCTTTTAACCGGGGAGTTCTTCTAACCGGGGAGTGCTTTTAACAGGGGAGTGCTTTTAACCGAGGATTGCTTTTAACCGGGGAGTTCTTTAAATCGGGGAGTGCTTTTAACCGGGGAGTGCTTTTAACCGGGGAGTGCTTTTAACCGGAGAGTACTTTTAACCAGGGAGTACTTTTAACCAGGGAGTGCTTTTAACCGGGGAGTTCTTTAAATCGGGGAGTGCTTTTAACCGGGGAGTGCTTTTAACCGGGGAGTGCTTTTAACCGGGGAGTGATTTTAACCGGGGAGTGCTTTTAACCGGGGAGTTCTTTTAATCAATGAGTGCAAAACGATGTGTTTTAGAGGAAGAACAAAGGGATAAGTTAGCAGAGAAAGTGATAATTTTCTAGAGAACGCTCATATCATTAATCATTATTGTACATGCAAAAATTGTCTAATTATAGAAGGGGGGGGATTACAAAAAAAATTCTTTAGAACAGAGTCAAGCATAAATTCCATAAAGGATTAAGTTATTAATTTTTAAACACAAAGATTAAACTACCTGAAAGTCTGAAGAATCCTTGGCAGGCCGTGAAAGCAAAACTCTAAATAGATAGATCAATCAAACAATCAATCAATCAATCAATCAAGGTGTTTTTCTTTATCGCCGAGGGATTATACACAGCGTGGCCCAATAAACATGGGAATTCAGTGACGAATTCGATATCGTCTTTTTAAATAATTCTTTGATTTAGTATAGTGATACCCACTGAGAAAGCTGTATTGTGTAAAAGTTACGTCTGCTATGTTTGTTTATGTTTTGACTGTATACGGTTGTACTTAACAAGAAAATTGCAGTAAACAAACAGAGTAAACATGTCCGTCTTCACAGTTCATCTTGCAGAGACATTATAGACACATCTTTGCAGTCTTTTATCGTTTTCATAAAATAAACTCTAGCAGACATAATAATATTATGGCTTTTGGAATTAGGTATTACAATGCTAAATCATAACTAAGACGATATCGAATTCGTCACTGAATTCCCATGTTTTTTGGGACACCCTGTACCATATACGACGGCTTTCATCAGGAATAAAAAAAACAGAAAAGACCAAGTTCGGATATTGTAAATGAAAATTAGTCATAAAAATTCAGGAATTTTAAAATCAAACAATTTCTTCCAATTTCATAAATTTGCATGTAGCAAATTTAAAAGGTTGAGTTGATGCTTTTTTTGTCATTTTCATTTCAATATCACGGAAATAATAAATATTTTTTGCGTATTCACTCCCAAAATAATATGTACTGTCCTCGAAAATTCATTTAGTTTCCAGTAAAATGTTCGTGCTTCACAGACAAATAAAATCTTTTGGAGTGCAGGTCTTATTTTTCAAGAAACAAAAACATTGGAAAAATTTAATTTTACCTTTTACTTTTGATTTGCTGGATTCTCCATGAATCTAAACATTTAACATTTAAAATCATTTTTTAAAATTAGAAATCAACTTTATTTTCCCGGACCGGTGATATGACCCGGGACAATAAAGAGGATTTCAAATGTGGTTATTTGATACATTTCAGATATAGTTGAGATGATAAAATTTGAGAATTTGATTTAATTGTGTGCTTACTTTCTTATCTCATTTTTCAGGGGTGTATGACAGGGGGGGATGGCAAAGGGACAATAACATTTCATAAGACAAAAACAGTTCACGGTTAAAATTATAACAAAATTATAAAAATTTCATTCTACAATTGTTTTTGCCAGGGCGTTCCTCTCAGAATTCCAAAACAACAAAACTTCTTCACCCAACCCCGGCTCAAATCCTTTGCAGAGGTGCAAAGGATTTGAGTTTTTGCCACAAACTCAAATTTTCTAATCCCTTTATCTTTACAACCGGATATATCAAACTTAAAACATGTTATCTGACATAGTTCATAAATACTGAAGATCTACGGCATCTGGTTGAAGAAACACAGGGCTTGAAGAAAAAGAGTTTGTTTCAAAAACTCAGTTCCTTAACTATTAGAATTATATAAATAACATAACGTACCATCTTCTTCATTTAACTCATCAGTTTCACCAACAACCTTAATGGGACAGTAAAGGGAAAATGAAAGGGGGTATAGGCTGAAAGCTAATCACTTTAGCTCTTGATCGCGACCCATGAAAGTTATATCTGATGTTCCTGTCTTGAGAAATTGATATAAAACTGTGTTAAAATTATACGAAAATTCATATATGTAAAATTTTGAAAATCTGAAACTTAAATCACGTGACCAGAACTATCACCAATGGCAGAGCAGTATACTGGTCACGTGTCTCCGCCTGTATCACGTGACCACTTTACTGCACTGCC